AGATAGCGTCCCCAATTATCACCTCTAATATCATTAGCTCACAGACATTTACCTCCTCCCCCTTTTCCCCCAATTCCCCTTTTGTTCTGAAATTTGATTTGTCCTTTTCATATGTGTTAATTTTTTTAAATTGTATCCTTTGGTATATATGGTTGTGACAATTTTCTTCCACTATTTGATCTGAGGAAGTGGGTCTGGCCCACGAAAGATCATCACCTAATAAACCGTCTTGTTAGTCTTTATAGTGCTACATATAGTCCTGTTTTTTGAAAAACAAAAGTTTTGCTTTAGCAAGTGACAGTCTGAATGACTCATTGTATACAGCAGCTTCAGAGGGGTAGCGGATTTAGTCTGTACAGGATAAACTTAAAAAACAACAAATAGTATGGTAGCATTTTAAAGACTAACAAAACATGTAGATGGTATCATGAGCTTTCATCTGAAGAAGTGGTCACTTTTACCAGACCTCTCCTCCTAATCATGTCCCTGCTGCTATCATGACACTTTCTTCCTTTCACTTCTTAGTTCCCTAATTGCCCAATCTCAAACGCAACAAACTTTCTAAATTTTTTCTGATTCAAGCTTCTGTCAGTTCTCCATTTGCCAGGTCCTCCACTCACCATTCCCAACTACCACAGACACTTTGACTGAACATACATTCGGTCGGTCTGGACACTTTCAGCTTCTCAGACCCAGCCTGTCCCCATTCAAACACATCTGCTCTTCCTAAACCCTTTAATAATAGGCCAGTGAATATCAATAGGCTCCTTTTTTTTCTGGTGAGAGAAACTGATTGAGGTTTCTGTTTGAGCCAAACTTCTTTTCAGCTAGAATCTCATTGTGCTGACACAGTTAAGCAGGGACATCCTTAGGATTTATGGGGTTCTGTGACGGGGTTACCGATCCCTGCACTGGCGCTCGCGATTTGGTGAGCACCGGCAGCCCTGGGGAAGCGGTGGCAGCGCTCCTTTTTTTTCTGGTGAGAGAAACTGATTGAGGTTTCTGTTTGAGCCAAACTTCTTTTCAGCTAGAATCTCATTGTGCTGACACAGTTAAGCAGGGACATCCTTAGGATTTATGGGGTTCTGTGACGGGGTTACCGATCCCTGCACTGGCGCTCGCGATTTGGTGAGCACCGGCAGCCCTGGGGAAGCGGTGGCAGCCGCAGCTGAGGGCGAGCGGCGCACCAACAGCGCAGGCGCCGGGGGTTACGGACCGCAAGCGGCGGGCCCTACG